TATATATATATATATAGTAAGTGAAAATATATGAATGAATGACACTATGAACAGAGAGAAATGAATATATTACCTTTTTTGTTTGTTTGGACAGTGAGATGGTGTAAGAAAATTGTAAATATTGGGTTGCACAAGGAATCAAATTCAAATGGTTAAAAAAACACTGCACAAAAAAATATGACCAATATACCACACAAATTTTTCTTATTTGATTTTATATATTTCACTGATGTTGTGGTATTTCTTTTGTGAAAGTAAAGCAGTCAATAAGAATTTGTTGGGATGAGAAGAAACAAACAGTCTAGCTATTGAGTAAACCTGCTGCGTGTAGCTCTGATCACCTAAGAGACACCAACAGGCCATATGTCACTGCAGGACACTAAAGATTCTTGGAGCTGCATCATTTCTCAAATCATATTTTAGGCTGTGGGTCAGTGCTGAACATCAAAGGAGAGGTGGAGATGGATGCTATCGTGATGGATGGCAAAACACTGGCAAGCGGAGCAGTGTCCGCAGTACGCAACATAGCTAACCCCATCCAGCTAGCAAGACTTGTTATGGACAAGGTATGCATGTTTCTCCTGACTGAACTGCAGGAACTGTGTGGAATCATGTTTACAGCTGTAGCTATGATTCCTTCTTCTGATAAGAACAAAATTCTATATGCTTGAACTGAAACCGTTAGTATAGTCTGGACGAAGCACAGCATTTCAAATGTGCTCTGTAACTGTTTACAGTGTGAACTTTGATCTTTGCTTCAGACCAGTCACGCGTATCTGACAGCCGAAGGTGCTAATCAGTTTGCTCGATCCATGGGGATCGAGGAGGTCCCCCAGGAGTCCCTCATCACTGAGTATTCCCGCATGCGCTGGAGGAAGAACCTTGCACCTGATGCCAACCCTGTGGAGTGCCAAATGTGAGACACAACAGTTTTAAGCTTGCTAGCATTATTTATTTTCATTTTTTAAAGTAATATGAAATGAAATGACCCCTTTTAGTATGTAACCGATCAATAGACATCTCTGCCGTGCATGCACTGATCCATAAGCTCACTGTGTTGCATAATGTGGACCCTGACTTCCTTCACTCACGTCTCTTAGTGTAGATAAAGGGAGGAAGCGAGTCTTTGCAGGACTTACACAAACCCAGAAAGATGTTATCTCACTTTGAATTTTAAGAAAAGACTGAAAAGGAATATTTGGCAACTAATTGGGTAAATTAACAGCAGGTCAGCAAAATGATTGGGTATTTAAAAAACAAACATCTTAGAGAAGCAGAGCTTTTCCAGTCCTTTTACCAGTCTGTAGAAAACTGCACAGACGTTGGTGTTGAGCAGTTAAACAAGAGTACCTAATGAAGTGGCCGCTGAGTGTATTTGACACACGGAGAGGAAAAAGCAAAACAGAACAAAATAGAACTAGAGCTCTCAGATATGTTCTGCTGCTCTGCTCTCTTTTGTAGGGGGAAGGCAGGCACTGTTGGTGCAGTAGCAGTTGACTTAGAGGGCAACTTAGCCTGTGCAACTTCCACTGGTGGGATGCTGAACAAGATGGAAGGTCGGGTGGGTGACACCCCCATCATAGGTCAGTTCATGCATGCCTGGTAATTATTTACATGCAGTTGTAATCGTTTTTGTGTCTTCGCTGAGCTTTTAACCTTTAGCCAGTCTTAAATGAATAGTTATTTAGTGAACAATGGGAGTATGGTTAATATTTGATTCAATTCTAGGTTACCTAAGAATGTTTTGTTAGACAGCAGCAGGAAAAAAACCTCTGACCTAAATTGTATTTAAACATAGGTGTATGCTGTGATATCAGTGGCTAAATCCTAGTCTAGTTTGGTAAACGGCAGCAACTTGATTTTGGTAGTTGCGTCAATCCCATCTAATCTGTCACTATCGATAAATGAGTGACAGGAGTATTTTTTTGAAACAATTGCTTGAATTTAAAAAAAAAAAAAAAAAGACTGTCTGCAAAACTTGGGCAAAATGTCCAAAACTAGTGCAGAACATTGATTAAAGAGACAAATGTGCAGAATCAAAGTTTTAAAGCAGTGGGCTGCTTTGCAAAAGGAACTGGAACTTATTTCATTCATTTGATTACAACAACCAAAAGTCTGAATCACAACAGTGTTGCTTCCTGCTGTGGTTCAGTTCAAGCAAATTTAAGGGAAAGCCTTAGTCTTCCATCTAGTGAAATAAATGTGTAACTGCATCCATGTGCAGGTGAGACTTCAAAAAATGTTTTTAATAACAACATCTTCAACATTTCATAGCAGAGCCTCTTTATTGACAGTATTAAATGTCCAAATGCTGTTTCAAGAACATACATAGACTGTAGATAGACTGTATATAAAAGACAGATGTATTCAGTCTGACACCCATGTGTCACCCAAGTGGCTTGCTCAATGTATTTAGTGTTTCAACTGCGACAATGTTGCACAAACGGCCATAATATTAGCCAAAATATTACATTCAAATGTTCCAAAAGGCACCAAAACTGCAAACTCAGTGGGGAGATCAGACTCAAATGAATGTAAGTAAGGTTGTGCCATATACTGTATGTTACATCTGCAATAGTGTTGATACAAGCAATGCCATCTGCACCCTCTCTAGCTGCTTCACACAACATTCATATCCCCCGCCTCTCACTAGCAGCAGAACACACCTCCCTGGTCCTTATAAGGCATTTTGGGAGGTCAGTAAAGCTCCTGTTTCACAACATCAAAATATTAAACAGTCATCATAAATGTTATGATGCTCGGCTGGTGCACATAATAACATTAGCCGTTCAATTATTAGAATTGTGACTACACAACAGCAGCATTAGCCATCTGTCAGTTTATCATTAAAGACACGGCTAAAATCTGTTCTCCCAGGGCTGCCTCTGGGTGTTGCCAGTGTTTTCATAAAGCTTCCAAACCTGCTTATAGCTGCAGGAAGATCCAGAGAACAGCTCAGTAAGCTGTGCAGGACGGCTGAAATATTTTGTCTTTGTCAGGGTCTGGAGGGTATGCTGACAACCAGTCAGGAGCAGTGTCCACCACAGGCCACGGTGAGACCATCATGAAGATTACACTGGCCAGACTCATCCTGTTCCACATGGAGCAAGGTAACACACACACACACACACACACACACACACACACACTTGTTTTCATATCTTAGTAAATACATCTCATTGACATAATGCTTTCCCTAGCGCTTACCCTGACCCTAACCATCAAAAATGAATGCCTAACCATAACCTAGTTGTAACCCAGACACTAAAACCACACTTTGAGCTTAAAAAATGCCTTCAGACTTGTGGGGATGGGCATCTTGTCCCCGTGAGTGACTGTTGGTCCCTAAAAGTATAGTAGCATGCCAATTTTCTGTCCTCACAAAGATGTCTAAACATGTACACACACACACAAATCTGAGCCACTGTGGCTGAGGGGGTTGAGAACCAGCTGCGAGGTTGGTAACACTTTGCCACACACAGCTTCAGCTCTCATATTTGATTTATTTACATCCAGAAAAAAACTAAAACTCCTCAGAGGAGCCGCGACTAAACCTTTTTACCCATGGGACTTGCACGCACTGTTTCTGGGGTCCTGGAAGCTGTTTGGACCTAGGTTTTTGTTTGTTTTTCCTTGATTTGCCCTTCACTGTAGCAGTATACCAATTATCCCAGTAAAGCTCTTCTTGTTTTCTTCCTGTAACCAAGTTTTGACTTTAGCACAAATGCTAACTGTAACAATGAGCCTCTCTCCAGACTGTTCAATTAAAACAAAAAGAGTTAAAGTGCTGTTTCTTGTGTCTCCTCTTTTGTCAGGTCGGTCGGTAGAAGATGCCAGTGACTTGGGCCTGGCCTGCATGCAGTCCAGACTTGGGGGGCTAGGCGGGGTAGTGACAGTGGATCCTCAGGGCCACTGGGCTGCCCGCTTCAGCAGCAACTACATGTCGTGGGCTGCAGCCCAGAGGGATATTGTGCACTATGGCCAGTACTCTGGAGAACACTTCACCCAAAGCATCAACTGATGGATGTTGTTGTTCTTTTTTTTAACTATCATTTTTAAGAGAGAATTTGATACTACTTGGACAACAAAAGAAATTCAGTACAAGTTTATCCGGGTGCTAAGATAGATGGTCATTGTGCATTTGATTAAAACACAAAGTTATAACACAAAATGTTTTTATCCGCAAAGGCTTACAGAGCCTATGAATTCTAGGCTGGAACTAATTTCAGATTACACTCTTAAAACTGATCTTTAATGCAGTCTTAACATTGCCTTAGTGCTTGTGATTGGTGATTGCTAACATACATCAGGCCTAGCAAGGGCTTTATTTAGGATAAATGGTATTAAGCAATAAGTTCAAAATCACCAGTAAATCATGTGTAAATGATTGTTTTTGGCAGCATTGTACAAGGGAGAAAGTCCAGACCGTAACCATGAATACCCATGAACGTTTTTTTATTGTATGTTCATTAAGTTCAGGTTTCGAGTGAGTCTGTGCAGGAAGCAAAGTGGACACGAATCCTGTAGGTCCTGTACAGGACTTAAGAACTCCAAGCCATTAATTTGATCTCATTTCTTAAGAATAAAATTACAGAGTTGTTTAAATTTCTTGATTGAAAAAAAGAGTTTTCGTGAGATTTCTTTAAATGAATGTCATTTTGAATGTTTGAATGGCAATCACTGCAAAATAAATTGGAAACTGAAAATGTGGTGTGGGGACTTTAAATAAACTGAATCGAAATATTTGTGAATGTGATCTTCAGATGTTTTATTTTTACCGTTTTTGTGTTAATGTGATGTCAGTGTAAATTACTGAACCTCTTCAGCTTCCACTAATCTGCTCTTTGATGACGTTGTGCAATCAAGTATTGTGAACATTTTATAGAGAACTGCTGCCTTGCTGCTTTATGTGTGTTAAATGTGCTGGCGGATGAACTGACCCAGTGTCTGTGAAGAGCTGCTGATCACATAATGATTGTTAATACTGATTGTAATGGCTATCTTTGTTTCTTCTTGGAGTTCTCTATTTCTCTTATATCTAAAATAAGAGTTTGGATGGACAAGAGGCTGTTTTACGCGTCGGTTTGTGCAACAACGACGGTAAAACCATCGTGTCGCTCCGCCATTCGCTTGTTTTATTTCTCACAAACTTTTCACAAAAGAAGCATCATATCCTTTTCAGGCTTTTCAAAATAAAACATGTAATAACTATAAATGGCGCTAACATTCGGCCCCTAATTCTTACTGCTAAGGCATAACAATTACATATTAACACAATAAAGCGTCATTTAATATTAACACTCAGAATCTAACTGGCTTAACCAAACATTATATGAAACATTATATGAAACATAAGTCATATGTGTTGAACATAAATCTGTTACACATGAGGCTGAGATTCAAACTGTTGCCTCCATTTCAAGCAATTAACATAACTTGTCGATAGGCCTCTCCAAAACGCTAGTTTTGGTTTTGACAAACACGTCTGACAAGTTCATGTGAGTCTGGAACTGATCTCTCAACCTTTCCCATTAACCAGGAACTTCTTGGTGCACTGTCATCAACTATGAGAACAACATCTCCTGGTCTCAGATTTCTCCTAGTCACTAACCACTTCTGTCTTTCTTGTAGAAGCGGCAAATACTCTTTATTCCAACGCTTCCAAAAAATGTCTGACAGGTACTGCACCTGTCTCCACCTTTTTTTTGCATACAAGTCCTCTCTTTGAAACAATCCAGGTGGCAGTACTGGCTGCCCTTTAAGAAGAAGTAGATGATTGGGTGTAAGTGCGTCTAAATCATTGGGGTCATTAGCCGCTCTTGTTATTGGCCTGCCGTTGACAAATGCTTCAACTTCACATAGCAATGTCCGCAAACATACATCATCCAGAGGTTGCTGCTTTAGGATCTGGTTAAGAATTCTCCTAACTGAGCGAATTTGCCTCTCCCAGATTCCTGCAAAAATGTGACCCTGCTGGGGGGTTAAATATCCAGGTGATGCCCTTTTCCATGAGCATATCTGAGATTTTTGAATGATTCCATCCCTTGCTTGCTTCACGCATTTCCTTTTCTGCACCCACAGGGTTAGTGCCATCGTCTGATCTCATGACAGACACTTGACCTCGTCTTGCAATAAACCTCCTGAATGCATTTATGCAAGAATCAGTCTCAAGTGAGTGGGCAACTTCTATGTGTATTGCTCTAACAGCAAGACATGTAAACAATACACCATATTGCTTAACTCTGCTGCGCCCATGCTTGACCTCAAAAGGTCCAAAATAGTCTATGCCCACTTTGTGAATGGAGGTTTGTCAGGAATCAGGCGATCTTGTGGCAAGTTTGCCATTCTTTGTTCACCAGGTTTCACAGATGTCCTTCTACATGTTACACACTTTGACAGGATCTTTCTTATTGCTGAATCTGCCTGTGGAATCCAGAATCTCAGCCTGGATAATGTGTAATTCCTTCCTCCATGACCTGTTTCTTGGTGAATGTGTCTCAGAATCAAAGTAGAAACATGATGACCTTTAGGGAGAATCACTGGATGCTTAACATCGGCTGGTAATGCAGACTCATGCAACCTACCGCCAACCCTTAAAACTCCATCCTGGACAAAAGGATCCAGCTTCGCAATGTGACTGCTCCTTTTAAGCTTGTCACCTTTTTGAAGACTTGCAATTTCTTCTGCGAAGCTTTGATTTTCACAAAACTTAACAATCTCAGTTTCTCCCTTTGCAACATCTGCAGTAGTAAGTGAAGATCCCTTAATACATGTTTTGAACTGCTGCATTTGACCTGCAACCTTTTCAGATTTCCTTTTGCTGCTTTCACAGCCACTTGCTTGTGACGTGAGAAGCTTCCGATGCAACTTAACCTGCAAAGCAGCTGCTTGAACATAAGTATCCAGGGAACTGCCTTTTTTAGACGGTACCAGTCTGAATAGTGAGAGATCATTTTGTTTACTGGATTTTCATGTAATTTTCATGTAATTTTGTAACATCCACACTCTTTGACGTTCAACATTATTTTTTGGTGTTTCTTTAATGTCCGGTGGAATTGGCCAGTTTTTCTTATCTTTTGTCAATTCTCTGTCTGTGTTCATTCCACTTGAAGCGTGGTCAGCAGGGTTTAATTCAGAGTTCACATACATCCACTGACTTGGTTTTGTGTTGTCTCTAATAAGTGACACTCTATTTGCTACAAATGTCTTAAATCTGATGTTCTCGCTGGAAATGTACTTTAAAACAGTGGTACTGTCAGACCAAAACTCAGATTCTTCTTGTGGCATTTGCAGCTCCTTTCTCATGAGCTTGTCCATTTTTACAGCAACTGCAGCTGCTGTCAACTCCAGACGTGGAATTGTTATCTGCTTCAGAGGAGACACTCTGGACTTGCCAATAATGAATGAGCAGTGAGTTTCTCTTTTCTGGTTTGTGATACGGAGGTAAGTAATGCCTCCATAACCTCTCTCACTGGCATCAGCGAAGTGGTGCAATTGTGTAGATATGACCACTCCAAATCCAGCAGGTTTCAAACACCTGTTGACGGTAAAGCCATGAAGTTTTGAAAGCTCTGAATGCCAAACTTGTGACCTTTGAGCCAGTTCAGCTGGGATTTCCTCATCCCATGAGATCTTCCTGCCACATAGCTCTCGCAGGATGATTTTTGCTGTCAGAATGACAGGAGACAAAAAGCCCAATGGGTCATATATTGCACTTACAAATGA